TTTATTATTTTACCCTGAATGGAAAAGAAAAAGAGGTTATAAAAGAGCTGGAAGCATTTGGTGGATCCAAATTTCATAATTGATGATTGGGTCCTTTCGCTAGAGGTCTGTTGATGGTGGGTCCCATTTTTATTTATTATCTTTTTGTTTTTGCACGAGTACATAAAATAGACGGATTAAAACGAAATATAATGAAATTTGGCACTAACACGATTTAGACATGTAATCCCATTTCTGATGTTTATAGAGAATCTAACATAGAGGCAAGCAGTGTCCCATCAATCAACTCAATGTGTATTATATGATGTGTGCGTGTGGAGATCGTCAAATTTACCCATCTTTGTTCATGATCAGTTTCAATTTCACATTGACGCAGTCAATGCCTAAAATATAACTTTGTCTGCATGAGTTTTGTATGTTTTTTTGGCACATCTTATCCGTCTCAATTACAATTTGAATTATCAAAATTGTATATTATTATTGTTGTTGTAATTTGAATTATTATTATGTTGTTGAGTGAAGTTGAATTCATATGTTTTTATTTAATTTATTTAATTACATTTGATTAAAGTACATTAAAAGTTTTATATTATTTTTTTGTCCTATTAAAATTTTCACTGTTAATTTTTATTTTAAAACTATTAAAGAGTACAAACTAATCGCTGAATAATGAAAATACGATCATAAAAAATTGGTTAAAACTTGAAAAGCAAAATACTATATACAAACAAACACCATTATCGCTTATGAAAGATAAAATAATAATAGAAAATAGATATAATAGTTACAATACTTCAATAAATGCTTTGTACGACAATTCAAATAAAATATATTTAAGATGAATAGAACTTATAACAAAGATAAAAAAAATTTATAAAATAAACGTGACATCAATTTTAACCTTAACCTTAAGAAAAGGAAGTGAACAAAACAAAAATCAATCATCCTAATTACCCTACATTAACCAAAAAAAAAAATCATCCATGGTTTCGTACGAGAGAAAAAACTATTATTTTATATAAAAATAGATCAGATAAAGTTTAAAACTATTAATTGTTTAAAGTTGGGGCTCTTTTTTATTCCTTTCAAATATGGTTAAATTCATTTATTCCCAGTGGCTTACAAAAATGTTCACTCAATGACCTTGTCATTTTACACGGCTGGGTACCCCATCAACGCCAATGTTTGTCCATGAAAATGTCATATCGTTGCATCCAATTTTCAAAAGTTTAGGTCTCTGATATAGATATACAAAAAAAAAAATATTTATTATTCTTACCCTTCAATTTTCAAATAAAGAATTCTTACCCATGTTTTACACAATCCAAAAAGAGCGAATAAAGTATTTTATTTCACAAATTTTCTACAATAATCTCAACAAAAATTCAAGAAAGGTCAAAAACAACCACTTACAGCATCATGATTAGCAATCGACATTGTATATAAGTGTAGGTTAAAAGAGATAAAGCTTAGGGGACCATAAACAGCCAATAAAAAATTAAAAGGAAAAAGAAAAAAAGATGGAAATAACATGGTTGCATGTGATGGGAGTGGGATTTTTTTTTCTTCAATTTGTGTATAATTTTGAATCTGGGTTTCTTTTAATTTTCCTGCATGCTTATTAGCCAGTATTCATCACTCCCATAATTTTTTTCCAATGTAGGGTTTCTTTTTTAATTTATTCTTTTGTTTTTCTCTTTACCAATCTTATCTAATCTAGCTGTGTTATGTACCCCACACCGCACTCACTAGTAAAGCAAAGGCCGAGTAAAATAAACGATGGTGGTTTGTTAGTGAAAACAAACCCTACAGGCTTACCCCTCCTCCTTTGCTTTCATCCTTTCATCGCCGGCCTCCTCTTTCTCTATAAAGCTAGGCTGACTGAGTGGTCCTTTCATCTTTGGAATGGCATCTTTCTCTTCTTCCTTCTTGTCTATCTTCCTTTTTCCATCCACTACACTGTGTTTTTAGGTCAATAAAACTGGAAATGCTTAATTTCCAGAATAGTTTGAGATTTGAGATCTGTGATGGTCGATGGTATTTGATATGTTTTTGTTAAATGGTCCTGGTCATGCTTTTCCACAGCTTTCTTGAACTTCCTTTGTATTGTAATTGTATATAGCAAACAATGAAAGCTCAAGAAAGCTGTGGGAGAACATGATGGCAATTCAGGACTTGTGTTTATCCCTTCAGCGAAGCTAAATTGCAGAATAAGAGAGAAATGAACTTCATACATAGTATGATATTCTTTAAATTTTCAAAATCATCACGCGAGTTTTTTTTATTGCAGTTAACACCCTTCCTTTCCTATGAATTATGATACACAATTCTTGCAACATGCGGCTTTGTCTCAGAGAAAAGTTTTTTCTGACGCTGAATTACAAGGTGGGTTCTTCTTCGTCCTTTGTTAACTCTTTTCTTTCAACAACGTATTAAATTGCAGTTACGGTGACTATTGCGAATACGATTGCAGATGTTAAAGTGACATTGAAATTGAAAATCATTATAATGTAATCGTTACACTGTGTTGAGACCGTAGTTTAATACTCCTATTATGTTATTTAAGTGTTCTGAATGTTAGTGAATCAAATGTAGGTGAAAATGGGGAGTTACATTAATTTGCTGGCTTTAATTCCTTGTTATATTATCAATGATGAAAAGTTTTCACTGTTAGCCTTTCTGGTTTTTTGCTTTGCCCCTCCCTTACATGATATGTGGTGGAAAATGTTAACCTTTGTCCCATGTTTGTGACATCACCCCTTAACCACTCCACTCCCCCACTTATCATCATCTCTGAATCAGTTTTTCTATCCATTTTCTATTAATGCAAATGATCCAAGATTGTTTCATAATTTATCACATACTATATATATATATATATATATATATATATATATATATATCCAACCCTTATTCTCTTTCTTTAACTCCTATAGGATCACTCTAACCCTAGCTCTTTCCATGCATTAATTACTTATTTACCGCCCAGAACTCTAAGCAGTCAGATAAGATCCTGTTTCCTTTTCTGCAAGAAAATGAATCCAAATTCTCAGACTTATGTGTTTTTCTGAACAAGTTGTGGCAAGTTGACGACAGGAGAAGCGTGGAAACAGCACATCAGAGGAAAAGCCAAGCAACATAAAGTTTCTCTAATTTATACTTCTTGTTCGGGTTTTTGTGTGTGTGTGGATTTCATCCAATTATATTGTAGCAAATTTCAATAACGTCAGTGGGTGATTTATATATATAGGTTGTATCTCAGGCAGTACTGGGTTTCAGCTTTTAACAATTTACCTACGGTCTTTCCTTTTTAATAGCTGTATATGAATACAACTTTAGAAAATACTTTTGAAAAACAGATTTAAGATAGAATCGATCTGTGAAAGAGGCTTTACTATTCCCTTCTCTGTATAAGAAAAGCTAAGGAAGAAAGCAGAGAGGCCATTTGTTTAATATGTATCTCTTGTTCCTCTCATCACTGCAATTTTTATATAAAAACCCTACAGCTAAAACAACATATAAAAAATAAACAAAAGTGTGTTTGTTTGGGTATTTTAACCTTGAGGTCGTGGGATCGAGTCCCATAGAGGCATTTCATAATTTGGAGGTCTCCTACGGAAGCTACTCTCAACCTAATTTTAGGAGCAGCCTACTATCTTACCTCCCCTTACCCCATTACATATGGGAACAAGGGACAGCCAGCCAGTTTATTTTAAATATTTTTTTACTCTTATATATCTGATTTAAATAAAATAAGTATTTTTCTCAATTCTCACCTATCTCATTGTCATCACTTTTTTTTCTTCCCATGATGTCTCCATTATTGATATTTTAAACTCTGAACCTTTTTTAATTAACAATGGCACCAATATTGATTCTTAAAGGTAATCTTTTTATTTATCTATTTATGGTAGAGTTCTTTTTTCATATTTTATTATAAAATAAATTTTAATATTAAATTCATCAATCTAATTAATACCTATTAAATTGAATACGTTCTGTGAATGAGAATAAATTTAAAAAAAGTGCAAGATTGGTTGGGTTTGGGGAGAGAGTAGATGGGCTAGCTTTGTGGGCAGGATAATAGCTTTGTTTTTTGGTGGTGCATGGACGCCCAAATATATTCTTTGGGTCATATTTCACCCCAAAAGCCGCTTTCAGTTTCTCTAATAAACGCCTTCGCCGGCCTTTTTCCACACTCCTCATTTGTGCATGAATTTAAGTTCAGTATGTTCAACTAAATGTACTAGGGTATGGAGGTTGACTTTGATAAGGTAAAGGAAAGGTCCACAGAATATGCAGTGGCTAAGAGAAAAGCCATTTAAGGTGCATGTTTTTGTTGCTTTTGTGACTGGAAAAAGGAAAACAATTGACTTGAAGACTAATGGTTATGTGCATGACTTCGAGGTACAGCTCTATACCAAGTTTGTTGCAGTAAATATTATTGTTCATAGTACGAGTGAAGATTAAGTCCTCAATTTTACCAGTAAGCACAGTAGTCTTTTTTTTTATTATTACTATTGATTGGTAAATAATTGTAGCACAAGGCTGTTGATGAATCACTGGCGCATATGAAAAGAATCAACAGACACCACATGCTACCAAAGGAAAGAGACAAATAAGGTTCATGCGCCATAGCTTCTCATTGGCCCCTCTTTCTTTTAACCTTATGGCTTCACATCCAGGGTCGGGTTTTGCCCATTTATACTGAAACTGTAACCTTCAAGTTGTTCCCTTGTGAATTCTGATTGAATACAACCACAAACTGAACTGGAAGATAAAAATGTTACCATGGAATTCTACACTGTGGTTTCCTTGTTCTTTCCCTTTGTTTTACATTAAATAGGCTTTAAAAGTTGCTTTTCACATGCATTTTTCTGTAGCAAGTTTTTTTATAATATATTTATATATATATATTTATGGGCTTAGAAGAGAAAAATATATAATAATATTTTATATAAAGTTACCAGAAAGCAACAAAACGAGAATCCCGGAAAATCATGAACAAAGATTAGTACTATCTTGATGGCATCCTTTGAAAGAGATACAGAAACACACTTGCGAATTGCAACAATCTTTTAAAAAAGAAAAGTGGATAAAAAATGGTGTTACAAATAAGAACTGCATTAGATTTGCAGTACTCCAGTTGAGAAAGGAATAAAGAGAAAGCTTGACATCCTCTCATGTCGATGTGATCAATCTACCAACCTGCAAGTCCATATGCCATGAATCTAATGAGGAACAAAGCTCGTGTAATGTAATGTAATAATTGTGTCTTTTTGTGCCTACAAGTTAATATGAACTGGTACTTACAAGAAAAGTTCAAACGAAATGATTACGCAGCTTAAGAAGCAGTTTTAGTTAGGTGATTATACACATAAACAGAAGTACTTAACTTGGTTCTAGAGATAGCAAGTGTATCCAGGTGGGGGTGTTTTTCCACAAGTGACGAGGAGCTGCAGAGCCAATGGCACGTAGAGTTTAAGGTTGAGAACCTTGAGCTTGAGAGTTGTGCACAAGCAGACGGCAGCTTCGAGCTCAGCAAGTCCTGCAAGAACCGGACAGCACTGATTCACCACCGGGTCACCAAGACCGATATGCACCAACCCTCCCAGCAGATCCACACAGGCACCCAGTTTCAGCGTGTCAATAGGGCAAGTGTCCTTGGTTGGTGGCGATGGACGGGGTTTTCCTTTCCCACTTGGTGGCTTGGTAGTCACCGGAGGAAGGTGGATGGGTGGCTTCACAATTGGAGGGAGCTGAACCGGAGGGAGTTTAGGAACAATGGGAGGCAAAGTGATGGGACCTTTAGGGGACTTGCCCTTGTGCCTTCGATGCTTTGGTGGTGCCTTCCCACAAGAACGGCACCCGAGAATTGGAGTCACCGAGGAAATGAAAAGCATGCAAATTAGCAGCAGAGCTGATATTTTGCTGGACTCCATTTATTTTCAAACCCAAAGAGAGAAAAGGGAAAGAGACGAGTTGAAATGTTTAAAAATTATTGTAGACAAGTGGGGATTATATACAAACAAGGAAGACGAACAAAGAAGCCCTAGAAGAAGAAGAAGAAGAAGAAGCAAATCACGTGAAGATGGGATACGTTGGAGAGGCAGCTGCCAAAATTTCCTAGTTGGCATTGCCTCTACAAATACATGACTCTATGTATCAACATTTACTCTCCGCTACATTATCAGTATTTGTTCTCGGCGGATATAGAACGAAACAATGGATTTTAGATTAAATTTTGATTTAAGCAACATTTGGAAGATAAAATATGGAGGGAGGGGTCCACAGAGTTCAGTTGGATCCTTCTATACCAATTTCTTAACCCTTTACGTTTCAAACAATACCACAGTCATCTTTTCTAATGGAACCCATGACCATCAAGTCAAACCTAAAATAAGAAAAAGTTAACACGAACCAACTTATTTCAGTTATTAAAAGATTCATTTTTGTTCCTAGAGATCTAGGGTTTGAATATCAATGGCTGCAGCAGGATAATTGAACGTGATTGAGAATATTTAGAATATATATTATTTTGTAATCATCTTAATTTAATAAAAAATAAGAAAAAAAACTAAATTTTAAAAATCAAAATAATTGATAATAAAATTAATTTATACAATCTAATCAGATAATTAGTATAATTCAAGTTAAAATTAACTGATTCAATTAAATCAATTTAGTTATTTTTTATTGATGGGATAATTAGGTTATATATACTACTATATATTATTTCAAATGAAAGCTCTTCCTTAATAAATGAGATAATGAAATGCTTAAAGCTATGGCACATACATAGTATACGTATAATGTAGCTAAACCCAAACCAATTTTAAAATTAAAAGGTTAGCAGCATATACCTTAGTAAAAATATCGTATGATTAATCATTTCCTTTTTGCAACATGGGGGCCACATGAAAGCAGACCGATCGAGCTGATTAGACCATCCTCTTGCCTCTATAATAGGCAAAATTAGCGGCGATGTGAGTTAAAAAAATTAGTCTATTAGGTTATTTTTAAAATTAATTTAAGATCTATAATATTTATTATAGTGGTTAGAAAGTCGTCACGTTACGTGATGAGTTTTAATAAAATATATTTTCATTAGAAATTTTTATTTCGATTTAATAAATTTTAATAAAAAATTATATTTTATTGAAATTCGTCATGTCGACGTGATAGATTTGAATAAAAAATATTATTTGGATAAACTCGTAGTGTGTGTGATAAGTTTGCACTGTATTGTAATATTTACCGTAACTCCCAAAATAAAATCTGAGTTTTTCTAATTAAAAGTGGAGTTTTGTCTCAATTGAATTTTACCTATTGTAATGATACTTGTGTGGATTGCATTAAGGGTAAGCAAACCAAACATGTATCAAAAGAGGTTGCCACAAGGAGTAATGAATTACTTGATTTAATACACACAAATATTTGTGGTCCTTTCGATGTACCTTCTTGGGGTGGTGAGAGGTATTTTATCACATTCATTGATGAGTACTCTAGGTACTGTTACCTATATTTATTGTACGAAAGAACTCAATCAGTTGATGTCCTTGAGACATTCATTACGAAGGTTGAGAGGCAGTTAACTATAAAGGTTAAGATAATACGTTCCGATAGAGGTGGTGAATATTATGAAAAGACATCGGAAGTTAGACAAATTCCAAGTCTATTTAAGAAACTCCTTAAGTCTAAGCGCATTTGTGCGCAGTATACAATGCCTGAATCGCCACATCAAAATGGTGTAGCGGAAAGGCGTAATCGTACATTGATGGAAATGGTAAGAAATATGATGAATGATAATTCTATACATGTTTCATTGTGGATGTATGCATAAGAACTGCCACATACATATTGAATAGGGTACTTAGTAAGGTAATTCCTAATATACATTTTGAATTTTGTACATCTAAAAAACCTAGTTTAAGATATCTTCACATGTGGGGCTGTCAAGCCAAAGTGAGGATATATAATCCACATGAAAAGACGTTGGATTCCAGGACCATTAGTGGTTATTTCATTGGATATCCGAATATGTCAAAAGGGTATAGATTTTATTGTCCTAACCATAGTACGAGAATTGTTTAGTTTGTGAATGATCGCTTTATTAAAAATGATAAAGTCAGTGGGAGTATGTGAGCATGTAATGTAAAGATAAGAGAGTCATTGATGGACCAAAACCTATCAAGAGATCCATCTCAAGTTGATGTTCCTATTATTGTAACACAACCATAAGGCATAGTTATGGAATAACAACAAATGGATGCTTCAAATTCAATTATTGATGTCATTGTTCAAGAAGATGAGGAAAATGCTCAAGTTAATGAGCAATTGCAACCTCAAGAAGAAATGACATTAAGGAGGTTTACTAGAGAAAAGATTGGCTATTTCAAATGAGTATATAATTTATGCACTTGAACATTGATAATGACTCATTCTTTTTTTACCAAGCCATGAACGGTAAAAAATTTAACAAGTGGTTGATGGCCATGAAGGAAGAATTGAAATTTATAGATGATAACAATGTCTGGGAAATGACAGAATTGCCAAATGATTCTAAAAGAATCAGTTGTAAATGGGTCTTTAAGACCAAGCGAGACTCTAAGGGCAATGTCGAGAGGTACAAAGCCAGACTTGTTACCAAATGTTACACTCAGAATGATGGCATTGACTTTAAAATGACTTTCTCTTTGGTTTCTAGAAAGGACTCTTTAAGGATTGTAATGGATTTAGTGGTTTATTTTGATCTTGATCTTCACCGAATGGATGTTAAAACAACCTTTCTCAATGAAAATTTGGAATAAGAGGTATATATGGAACAACCTCAAGGTTTTGAGACCACAAGTTAAAAAAATCTGGTATGTAGGTATAAGAAATCAATCTATGGGTTAAAACAAGTTTCCCGACAATGGTACTTGAAGTTTAATGATACTATATTGTCATATGGCTTTGTAGAAATGACCATTGACTAGTGTATTTATATAAATATTGTGGGAAACAAGTTTATAATCCTTGTGTTATATGTAGATAATATTCTTTTTGTTGTTAGTGATCGTTGGTTATTGTATAATGTTAAGAGTTGCCTTTCTAGTAACTTTGAGATGAAGGATATGGGTGAGGCTTCTTATGTGATCGAAATAGAAATATTTCGGGATTGATTACAAGGAATTTTGGGATTGTCTCAGAAGGCTTACATCAACAAAGTTCTAGAAAGATTTAATATGAAATCATGTACACCTAGTCTAGTTCACATCCAGAAATGAGACAATTTCAGTCTGTCTCAATGTCCTAAGAACGACATGGAGCGTAAAGAAATGGATAATATCCCTTATGCTTATTTATTCAGGAATTTGATATATGCTCAGACTTGTACTAGGCCGGATATAAGCTTTACAGTCGGTATGTTGGGTCATTATCAATCAAATCTTGGATTGGTTTATTGGAGAGCTGTAAATAAAGTTTTAAGGTACTTGCAAAGCACTAAGGATCGCATGCTCACATGTAGAAGAAATAGTAACATTGAGGTTGTTGGTTACTCGGACTCAGACTATGTCGGATGTTCAGATACCCGAAAGTCCATATTTGGCTATGTGTTCCTTCTAGCTGATGGAGCTATCTCATAGAAGATTGGTAAGCAATAGGTCATTGCTACTTCCACTATGGAGGATGAATTTGTAGCATGCTTTGAAGATACAATTCAATCATTATGGCTGCATAATTTTGTTGATGGTTTATGCATTGTTGATACCATTGTTAATCCAATGAGGACTTATTGTGATAATGCGACAGTTGTATTCTTCTCTAAGAACGATAGATACTCCAAGGGTACCAAATATGGATTTAAAGTATCTATCTATCAAAGAAGAAATGCAAAATCAAAGAGTTCAAATAGTGTACATTGGCACAAATATATGATTGTGGATACTTTGACTAAAGGACTAACTCCTAATACATTTATTGGCCATGTTAGTGAAATGAGAGTAGTCGTGAAGTCCTTGTATAGCGGATTATTACTCATACATGTATGAATATAAGTCTCGCACATTTATGTTTGCTTGATACTATAGATATCGATGTTTATTTGGATTTTACTTATCTATGAATCATATTTCAGTTATGCATATTTTGTTATAATTAGAAATATTGGATTTGTAATACCCCAAATTACGGGTTAGTAGTTTTCAGTTTACCCAATAGGTAAGTGGACCACGTGAAATTACAAATTAAGTTGTTGGGCTTAATTAGGTTGCCTTTGGGGCCCAATTAGTCATAAAAAGGGGGATTTTTGAATATGAGATAAAATGCAAAGGAAAAAAAGTACAATTAGACCCTTGAGTGAAATGAAAGTTGATTTTAGGGTTTTTATTTTGTTTTGGACATGGTTTTATCCCACACAACTCTTCATCATCTTTTTTTTCTCTTCTCCATCCCTCTCTAAGTTTCCATAACCTCAAGTGGTGGTAAGGTTAATTTTATTATGTCTCAAATTTGTCCCTTTTACTTCTTATGACATCCTTATGTAAGAATATCCTTGTAACTTTGTTGGTTTGAGGGAAAAATGGTGGAAAATCAACCAAGTAAAAAAGGAGAGTGCTTGGTAGCTAAATGAGATTCTTTTTGGGTTTCTAAGATTAAGGTAGTGTATTTATAATCTTTTGAAGTATTAAAGTTTCATAAATTCTTGGTGTTTGCTAAGATTTGGATGATTGAGCATTTTAGGGTTTTTTTATTTCTCAATCAAATATCATTTTAGGTGTTAATATCATGTTTTACTGATGCATAATGACCCTAAATAACTTACTAAAGCTTTTAAATAAGTTTAGAAACCAACTCATGTCATTTGGGGTGATTCTTGAGTGATTCCCGAGCACAAGCAAGTCATTACCAGAGAAAATGATTGATCCCTTGACCAAAGGGATCGATCCTAAAGTTTCTATCTAGCAAAGGATCGATCCCTCGGGAGAAATGATTGATCCTATTTCAAAAGGATTGGTCTCTTTAAGAAAAGGATCGATCCCTTCTCTGTTTTACTCGATGAACATGGATGTATATGCATTAATTAAA